CAATTAACCCTCCTGGATTAATCCCCTGGGCTCCAAACTTCTGCTTCTCTTGTCTCATCTCATCACACCCATGGGGTTTTATTAAGCCGAGCCCAGCTCCCCGCTGTGTGGCCACGCTCAACACAACCCGCTTCCTTCTCCTTGGTTTGACTTTTCTCTACTTCTGTTCACTTCACTTTGCAGCTGCGGCTTGACGCTGACTTCCTGTTGACTGCTTTGTAGAGAAGGAAGCCCTCGTGAACAGCAGGAGAAAGTGCCTGTTCACTCAGCATCCTCATACTGGAAGCTGCAGGATGGCGAGAAGATTCCCCATTCCCGTGTTGCTTCTTGCGATTTGCTGCCTGGCATCTGCAGGTAAGTTCCTCTCATTGATCAGCTACACGTGAAGCTAATCGTCAGATACACATTCGTGCAAATCATTTAAATCCTCATTGGTAGGAGCCAAAAGTCAAAGCTGTGCAACTCTGGTATCAGGAATAAAAAGACACTGAGTGTGCACCAAGCCCTGCAGCGCTGTGTTGTCAGACAACCGAAACCTCGCCCGTACCCTGGGATTTTCCACTGTTCTTCCCAGCATGCCTTTCTAGACAGTGCTTGTCAGAGAGTCCTGAGTACGGGGGATTTACATTTCAGAAAGCGCTGACAAGTTCAATCTGAGAACACAAACAGTCAGCAGGCCGACACGTCTCTGTCAGATTGATTGGAAGGAGGCTCAGATGCTGCCAAATGCCTCTCAACGTGACAGCAGTTTAAACCGGCAAACCAAGAAGAGAGAGAGGAAATAAGTAAACCACCACAAAGGCGAATGCAGGAAATGTATGTACATTATCAGTGTGTCATATCAGTTACTGCAAGGCTCTGCTGATGTCACAGCTCACCCCATAGGAACTTTATCTAAAATGAAATGATGAGAAATACTTTACCTCTCACTTTGAGGAGTGTGCATGCTACTCATGACCTTTTATACTCTCAATAGGTAGTTGTGACTCTGAGCAACAGGTTCCCAGAGTGCTGAGACTTTTATCTGTGACACCCTAACACTTACTTTACTTTGTCACAGTCAACTCTATCGTCTTAAGATTGCACTCCTTGTTTCTGTTCATCGCTGAGAATGTCTCTGGCTGCAGGAGGCAATGACGCATGCTCTCAATGACGATGCCAACATGTAGGTGTGTTGCAGGTATAATGCTTAACATGCTCACTAGCTTGGTTTAGCATGTTGGCGCCTTAACATTTAGTGATTAGCACTAAACCCAGAAGCTGTGTCCATGTTTTTTCTTGTATACTACCTGCTAAAATCAGTCAATTAGACATTTGTATTCAGCAAATATTGTATACAATTACTATGGATTTGGGACAGAGCAAGAGTACAGCTGAATCTGAGGCCTAAAGTATCAGTCAAATTGAATCTGACCTGATGATGGCACCACGCTGGCTTCAAAACTCAGCAGCGGTTGCACAATGTACGGCTTTGGACTTGAGCTCGCTCCAGCTTTAATCTGCAGCATTCCGTGTTGTCTCTCCGTGGTGGAACGGGAATAATTACCCCCGGTAGGAGGCGAGCCGGCGCTCCAAAACAAAAAAAAGTGTTTGCGTTTTTTTTCGTGCCCTCAGTCTGATTGCCGCCATCGGTTATTATTTTTCAAACGTTCTTCTCTGCTCTCCAGAGAGCTGACTTTTCCCTCAAACAATAGCAGTGCCGTCGGCATGCGCTGTGGGTAGAGCAAACATCATTTCCACCACAATGCCAGGATCTCCAACACAATGAAGTCACGTACAAAGTTTTCCTCTAAATGCCTCCTCATACGGCTCAGCGCATTGTTGTAATGTCACAAGGGACCGGTATTTTCAGACAGTCAACCAGATGCCCTTTCCCCCAAAGTGCGCTGGCAGCGAGTGTACTCACTGATTTACGGACACATCTTCGGATGCTCTTGGCAGTCCAATAAGCCCATTTTTGTCCTCTTTATTTTTCACACTATCTCTTCAGCCTATCTTTCACGTCTCTCTCTCCTTTTCTGTCTATTTCTATCATCTCGCAGCATCTGTATAAACAGTCACATCTGCCCTCTAAACTTGTCAGGAGAGCTCTTACGTAATGTTTAGATTGGTCTGCGATGAGTCTTCTCTCAGCGTAATGCTCTCCAGGATCTGGGCCTCCCATAACTCTGAAAAGTTGAGCCGAGAGCACCTTGACGTCCATATTTCAAGGCTCCGTTCTGCTGCTTCACTCCGTGTTTTTTTGTTTTTTTTGTTTTTAGCTGTTTATAACTTTGTCCTCCATATCCCTTACTACCAGTTTGTGGTTGCCTCTCCCCAGCTTGCCAAGACAGTTACTTTGTGAAAAATATATCGTGCACATTTGTGCTGTGGAATAGAGTCCTGCACGAGCCATTGCCAGGTATTAATTTGAGGCACTGGCCAACAGCACCGGCAGGATGCTGGTTCATACTCGAGGCACAACGACGGGCCGGTGACTCACTGAAAAACACACCAGCTGAAGCACTTTCTCCTCCTCCTCCTCCTCCTCCTCCTCTAGCCTTTCCTGGTTTTGCTTATGGGTCGGCTTGATGAGTGATGGAGCTATTAGTGCAGATCTGTCTTCAGCTGCTCATTGTGGAACCACATAGTTCTACAGCGTTAATAAAACAATAACTGGAAAAAGGGAATTAAATTGTGCTCACAATCACAGCGTGTATAGTTCAACTTATTACAGCAACGTAAACAACTTTCTCGTAGGTCTTCATTTTTGTATACTCTTGGCAGACACCGGCCACTGTGATGCCAGAAGGTTTTTTTCAAGTCCCCCCCCTTACGGAAGAGCAAAAGCTTCGTCTCTATACGCACAATGCTTTCACAGGGCCAGCGAGAGGGGGACTGCCTAAAAAATGCATTGCGCAACCACTGTAATGTGAGAGGTGGGGGGGTGGGGTGGAGAGAGGCAGGCGCTGGCGTGGGTCGGCTGGTCCAAATCGACACACTCCACACACGCACAACGTGCCAAACCGACAAGAGTCCCTTCCAGCGCGCTAAAAAACCAGATGTTGCCTCGCGATTCATGCGAGGAGCCGCAGCGCAGCACAGAGGCAGAGGCAGAGGCTGCTAGGCCCAGCGGTCGGGATGTTTACGTAGCAACGGGAGTCCCGCGGGTCTAGTTACAGGTCTGCCCCCCCCTCCCCGGTGAGGCCTTTATCTCAACAGCACTGTCGCCACAGCCCTGTTTGTGTCTTTTGCTTATTGAATACAGGTCACCCTGGTATTGCCCGGGTTAATTAACAGCAGTGTGTAAATTAGATTGTGGGGTATTGACTTTGGTTCGCTGTGACTCTCTGTGTGTGGCTCTCACTGAAGGAAGAGCACCGGAATGAGCAGACAGGTCTTCACAGAGAGACTCGTATCTCCGTCCAGCGCTTTCATATCTTGTCAGCCTCCCGTTAAGAGGACGCTGACGCAAATCTGCTGGAGTCAACCCAATCCCTCCCCCTTCACTCGCTCTCTCTCCCCCTCTCTCTCCCTCCATAGTTCCAGTAAGCAGGCATGTAAATAATTTTGGTCAAAGCCAGTAATGGGAGACAGCTGTGGCGATCGTGCCTTTTCCATTGTGTTTCACAGCCCTATATAAAAAAGAAAAGCAAAAGCTACTGGAGCTGGGGAGAGTTTGAGTGGGAGAGTCATCCGGAGTGTGACTTCATTGAAGAAAGAGAGTAATTGTACAAAATTGGACTCCCTTTATTCCGATAACCTTCGGAAGCACCGTGGAAAAAAACAAATAACTTGTGCTATCGCGTCGTCTTGGATGAGGTGTGATTTCTTATTTTTCAGCCGTAACCAGTGTGCGTTTATTAGAAGTCGAGTTACCTAATGAGGCTGCAGAGGTGCCAACTTTTCATCGCACGACTCTTTATCTGCAGAATAAGTCCTAATATGGGATCCTAACTGGAGGCTTCCAGGTGGTGTCTTTCAGCAGACCAGCCCCTCCTGGGGCCTCACCTTCCACACTTCTCCACCAGATGAGTGCTGCTGAAACACCATGTCCCAAATTTGGAATGACTCTTTTGGAAAAAACAAGTGTCAGTCCAAAAAATGGCTGCAGGCAATTTACTTTGCCCTAACAGACATTTGGGTTAGATCACACACACATACACATACACACACACACTCTTGGAAATGATCTCTTTTTCCACTTGATTTTCAAAATTTGATTGCAGATTTCTAACAGACGGTATTTGTGCTCTGTTTGTTGAAGGAATAAAATAACCCTTAGCGACATTATGCCCTTTAAGAAGCACTTTAATAGGCTGTTATGGTAGCTGGAATACAGCCCTGTCGTTATTTGAAGCATCTGCACAATAAAAAAAAACAAAAAAAAAAAAAAACTATTTATATAATTACCATTTAGGAGCACATCACTGTATTGCACATGTGTGGCACTCCCTCAGCATCGCATACATCATGTGCTGTCTTTGTATTTTTTACTTACTGAACTTCTATTCATAGCGTATTTTATTGTCTGGTGACTGTTCAAACTGTTGTAGTCACACTTTTTCCGTTTGTGAGCTGTCCAGTAAAGAGGCTTTCCCAGCGTCCTTTTGTACGTGTTAAAACACGACGGCAGCGCGGCATTTGACAAGTCATTCTTCTCTTCCTCGCCCCCCCCTTTCCTGAAGATGAAGGACCCCGGAGGAATGTAGTCCCCTTCCAGCTCATGTGAAAACGCTGTCCGCCTTGCCCTTTCTCACCTCGCTGACTCCTTCACGCTGGCACAAAGGGCCGCCATTGTTTCGCTCTTTGCTTTCTGTTGATGGCAACCTGCTGCTTCTCAGAGGCCCCCGTTATCGCATCTGAGTGATGATGTTTTTGTAAGAGATCACAGGAAGGACTTCTTTTTGGGGTTTTTATTTGATTAATGTTTTAAAAAGGGAAAAAAAATCAACACATTAAATGCACTTGGCGTTATTGATTTAGCAAAATCCTTTCCACACGCCCTCTTGGATCTTAAATTCCAACAGAAATGGCTAAATCCGGCTCTTTTTGCATACGTGAGTGCATTGTGATTTACAGTGTTGTGGAGGCTCTACAACATGTATTTCAAACGTCTTTCCGTTCTGTGGCTTTTGGAATTTCCAGACTTCAGACAGTAACTGGACAAGCGTCCGTCAAGCTTCCAGCTAGCCTTTCACCCCCACCTGTCCAAATATAATAACTTTCCATCACTCATATTAAATACTGCACGTTGAGGGTTGCTGGCGAGGTAGACGATCCGACACAAATGGAATGAGGCTGGGATGAAGTTGGACAACACAAGCGACTCGAGGTCACACCTCCCTGCATCCCCGACTGGGTTTGAATCTTCT